AGCTCTGTGGCATGCCAAAAATAGAAACCATCCCTCCGACTGAAAATGTGACAAGACGCTTCCATGATAGACTACAATCTAGTTGTGCAGATGGTGATGCACTACATCTGTTTGATGTAGACACAGTGTCGGAATAGAAACATTTGGGCAGCTCTGTTGCACCCAGGCAGTGTTTTTGTTCCTTTGTGTAGGGATACTCTGGGCATGTTGCTTTTCATTAACTTCTTCGGCAAGGATGTCCACCAAGTACAAGAAATTACCTTAATAGCTGTTTTAGATTAGCTCAGATTTGAGGTATTTCGGGCTGGGAATGTATTTAAACGCACCCTCCTTCAATCTGCTCCTGCTGCTTTTTTTTTTAGAAGCAACGGCAAATTGGGCAGAGTTTGTGGTTTTCATCATGAGAGGATTCTTGGGTTTACCAACTAAACCACCGAAACTTCCTGAATATGTTTAGGAAGGGTCACTGTTTGGTCACATCTCAAGTACTGATGTTCAGGCGGCTTGCTTGTTAGCATAGTTAATTGCATAAATATTTGTATCAAAACTGTTTTAACACAAAATTCGGGAAAAAAATAAATCTAGACCTGATGGAAGGCGTATCTAGTATATCGTGATCCATCTAGAATGTGATAAGAGTGGATAGTTGATATCGTCACAGATGGCATACTCGCTCCTCTTAGACATTTCTCCAAAAGTTTTAGCATTCCTTTCCATGAATAACCCTATATGACTTCTATCCCATAACCTACTGGCCTGACAAAACCTCAAACTTTCCATAGTGCAAAATTTGGGTTTGACCTCTATGCAAGCAATCTTTAGCTTCGACTTGCCTGTCCAGTCCAGGCATCGTCCAAGTGATGATCGAAACAACCGATCCGTGCGGTGTTAACATTACACTAGTGTTCCCGACGACTCTGAAATCCCATACATTCAGCCAGCACATCACAGACCATGACAATGCAGCTTTCACTGGAGATAGAGAGACAATACGGTGTCATTTTAGGAGACTTCGGTTGGCGCTGGGTAACCTGCTTTGATCCACATGTCTGATATTAGCTCTTAGCGGATTGAGCGGTTCATGGACTTTACACACACACACACACAAACATCTCAGCAGACCATATTCACTGCATGTTGGGTAAATGTCTTAATCCCGACCACATGCTTTGCTGCCACGCTTGAGTAACCTTCTTGTCCCCAACAGGCTTGTAAAGTTTTTGCTGGTGGCGTCTTACAACAGTTACCCTCCCTGCACCTTTGTGATGTTTATATTGCCACTTTAATGTTTCTAACTGTGGTGGAGCAGCATTTAATAGCTCTTTTATAACAAAACGGTGTGAAAAAAAAACATGGGAAATGCAGTTTTCTAAGAAACTATAAAGCCTTGTTCACACTGACCAAAATTGAGAGTTGACTATCCAGTATGGGTGTGTTCAGCAAATGTGGCGTCTACCAATGGAGTTTCCTGAAAAGTTAATGTTACTGTGAGTGTTTACAGTGTTCTATATGATTGGCAGATACAGTGATATAATAAAATGATGGAAAACCGTGTCAGCAACCTTGAGCCATAAAATCATTGTCGGTTGTGAACAAGGCTTGAAAGACAGGGGAAAAAAGTATTTCACACCATTTGCTATATTTAAATGTGCAGTTGTACCTATTATTCATCGTTTTGACTAGATCTACTCGTAATCAGAGCGTGCCATTGAATCATTTGAGCTTTGACGAGTTTCACTTCCCATGTCGACTACAAAAGCATTGGAGAATGAAAACAAAGCCAAAAAAAAAAACTTACTTTAACAAGAATATCCTATACATTACTTAGACAAAGTGTAACTTTTAGCAAAATTCAGCCACAGCTGCCACACCACCTACTTGCTAACCCTTTGTTCATTATGTGTTAAAGAAGAAGATTGAATGTCTATCTCACAGCTTTTCTTTCTGTATGAGCACCTCCCAGAGAACAACCTTTTCTTGAATTAGGGAGAATAGTGTATGAGACACTTCGTTAACCTCTGTTTTTTTTTCTCTCACTGCTTTTTTTGCTAGTTGGTGTCCCGTTTGCAATACTCGCAATACAACAAAAATCATTCAAACGAGGATTTTTCTGTAATGATGACTCTATCAACTACCCATATAAAGAAGACACCATTTCTTATCAGTTATTAGGAGGAGTAATGATTCCGATCACTGTGCTTACTGTAAGTGCCCATCTGTTTGTTACATTAGCAGCTCTCATCCCCTTCCTGTATCTCTTTCCTTCTCTCATTATGCCTATATTTGTCGCGTGCTTCTCTGGTCAGTACGTCTGTTCTCATGCCAGCTTGAGAAATAGGACTTTGAGATCTAACCACGAGATACGGTCCTGTAGATAGATGTTTAAAGGGATAGTTCACTCAAATCTGAACGTTCGGTCATTATTTACTCACCTTTATGCTGTTCCAGACCTGTATGATGTACTTTCTTCTGTTAAACACAAAAGGAGATACCTTGAAGAAATTTCATACTGTCATTACTGTCAAATTTCTTTTGAACTTCCACATATTCCAACTGCTGGACACATTTGTAATGAGAAGTTGTTAATTTATGCACACATTTAAATCTTGGAATATAGAGTCATATGGACTACTTTTATGGTACTTTTTGAGTCTTGCCAGTTTCTATGTGCTTTTAGTGTTGGAAAAGATTAACAGACATTCTTGAAAAGAATATCTCAGACATTGTTCCTTAAAAGAAAAGAAGTCAAATGCATTGAAATGACATAGAAGTTAAAAATGTAAACAATTTTTTTTGGGTGAACTATTCCTTAAAAATTAACATTTTAGCAGTATTTTAACTGATTTGAACAGCAGTCAACTCTTGTAACAGACCTTTTAAGAGACAAAGCCAACCAATGGAGCGGAAACAATGTCTTCTGGTCTTCTACCCACATATATATTTTCTCATAAAAGCCCATATACGACAGACAGTCTTGTGGTGAGATGTTTAGACTAGAGTAGGAGTCTCTCTGTGGTTACATCTCATAACTGTTTCTTTAATTCAGGCTTTTTATCTTGTATGATAGCATCTACAATTCAGCACTATCCTTTCAAGAGTTTTAGAAACATAATTTAATTTAAAATGTTTAAAATGAGCTTACCCCATTATGGATAACATTTCCTACATATACACAGACATGCACATCTATATAACCTCACAGTCACATATGTGAGCTCAAAGCACATATACCTCTGCCTAAATGTTATTAAAATGCTTGATTTAGGTTACTGCTAATGTATATTTTAAAACTGCAGCATTTTATGCATTTCAACTTGCATATATTAGTACAGCAAAAGAAAAGAAGAATTGTATCATTTTAATATATATTACTCAAGCTCTATAATTGATCATTGAGAGAGAGAAGGTAATACATACTGTAGTCACTAGATTATAGTCAGTGTAGACACATTATGAGATTTAAAAAAAATAAAAACATCAGAAGGAAAAAATCCAAGTCAAACATGGCTTGTGAAAACTAGACATGAACCAGGGATCTTACGACTTGTGGAATGAACTGTAGTTAATGTCAAAATATGGTGTCTACTCTGATTAAGGCCATTAGGGATATCCTCTAAAGGAGGTAATGCAAACATGGGTGATGTTAGGGACATTTAAGGGAAATACTTGTGATGGCTGCATTGTCAAGTGCTTCTACTGTTTGATCTTGATTTTATTCTTGTACTTGTGGGCATCCTTATTAGATTCAGAAACAGTCCTCAAATATTTTCATATCACAAACACATGACTGGCTGTAACAAATGTTTTGACCATCTTACCAGGAAAAAGAAAAGTAATGTTTCTTTGCTTCCTCTTCCATCACAGATGATCATAGGGGAGTGCCTTTCAGTCTATCTAAGCCGCATCAAATCAAAGTCTTTCTGTAACAGTTATGTGGCCTGTGTCTATAAGGCCATTGGCACCTTCTTGTTTGGTGCCGCCATGAGCCAATCACTCACTGACATTGCCAAGTACTCCATCGGCCGGCTGCGGCCACACTTCCTGGATGTGTGCAAACCGGACTGGACGCAAATCAACTGCACAGGAGGAGCTTACATTGAGGACTTCATCTGCATTGGGGATCCAGCCAAGGTCAATGAGGGAAGGTACGTAAAACTCCCTTATAGGTCACTAGTTGTTACTCTTTACCTTAACACAGGGGTGCCCAAACTAGCTTCTAGAGGGCCACTGTCCTGCAGAGTTTAGCTCTAGTCCTAAATCAGAGATGGTCCTCACTGCAGAACACAAGATCCAGGGGGCGAGGTTGGATCCAGATCCAACTCCTCCCATCTTCCATATCCCTAAACCTACCCATCTCGACCCCTAAACCTACCATCTCCACCCCGATCCCTAAACCTACCCATCTCTGCCCCTAAACCTACCATCTCCACCCCCTGGATGGATCTTGTGCACTGCAGTGAGGGTCTACTGTTAAATCAGGGTCACTCAAAACTTCTAGGTTGGTGTGGCGCTCAACTCTGCAGGTACTCAAGGAGCAGAATTGGACACGCCTGCACTACTGGGTGTCCTGCTCTGGATGGATGGAAGAGTTGCAAGAAAGGTTTTTTCCTTGAGGTGGGAAGTAGGAATCCCTCAACTTTGTTCTTTAATGTGGTTCTATCCTGGAAACTTCCTACCCAATCTAGCCTGCATCTGCATTCATTATTAGACAAGCTTGTCCCTCGAAATAACTTTGCTTTGGAACCTTTTCGGATAGGTAGATCTCATATGGAAATGAGGTGTAGTTCTAGCGATTTACAGGAAAGTGTCCAATTAGCAGAACCAGTTCTATTGTGACCTCAAATATGTCATAAGTACTTTATATCTGGCATTGAGAAGAAACTCCCTAATTAAAATTGAAATTAAGGCTTCTTCCAATGTGAACCCTTTTTGGATCAGTTGTCCACACCGTTGACCACCCAAGCTTGGTGGCAATCTGTGGTTCACACGCAGTAGTGATCTCTAATCCTGCGGTTAGCCATTTCAGAGCACGCAGGCTTTGTTTGGGTTCTTGGGCCAGACTCAAGGCTAGCAGTATCCCAGGCCCTCTCAGAATGCTCTCGTTTAACATGGGTGTGGTTCCCGTCTCTCTCTCTCGGAAGAGCACCTCTTTAGTGGTGGTCTAGTGTTTGCCTAGGAGACGATGCCGTTTATAGAACAAATAAAGAGCAGTTGAGGGTCTGAGCCCAGAATAACCCAGATCACCTTTCACACGAGTGTTGTCCTCAGGAAAATGGAGTCTTGTTGATAGGCAAGCAAGTGTATTTGCTTGTTAAAGGGTGAGAGAGTCATCCAGGTCTAGTTCAAACAGTCCAGTCATAAATTATTTAAACATCTGAAGTAGGTCTTCAGTTCTTTGAGTCCGTGTTGCCCTTTCGTTATATTTTATCCACATGGAGTTCAGGCACACTTCGAATAGGATCTGCAGTGCTTTATTTTAGCTTCTCCACCGCACAGATAATTCGCTTTAGCTCTGCTTTGTCTCTTGTCTCATGACCGGGTCTGTAATTCAATCAGCAAACAAGAACATAAAGATCTAGTCCTCATTATAATTAGCACACTGCCCAGATCTGGTTAAACTCTGCTTTTAAGTAGATTGATATGAAAGGAGCATGTTTGCAGTGGTTGAGTGTATGGCAGTTGTGCTGCTTGAATGATTCAAGTTTTATTTGGCGTCAGCCACTAGGCGGATGCTCCTAGTCGACAAGAGGCCTAAGCTTAAGTAAACAGGAACACACAAAAGCCTGCCGGATAGCCAGACCACCCTCCCTCTCTGACGTTTTCCGCATGTCCCCTGCCCCGACCCCCATCGGTCAGCACGCGTCTCCCCCGAGCATGCCTTTATCATCCGGAAAAGGGTGTGTGTTTGTGCTTTTTAAAGGGAGTGTTTTGTGGGACCAAATGGGACAATGCAAATCTTTGCCTAGCATGGGGTTCAGTGTTAGGATTCCATCCTGCCAATTTGTCCAAGTAATTCTTAGTTTGTTTACAGATTTGCAAAACAAATGTCAGCTTTAACTAAAGGCTTCGTAGTGTTGCACAAGTACATGTCTGCATGTAGTAAGTAATTAAGCAGCCCTTCTGTGTTTCCCACATTGATTCTTCAATTGTTTTTGTTGCAGACTCTCATTCTACTCGGGACATTCGTCATTCTCCATGTACTGTATGCTGTTCCTGGCAGTAAGTGTCATTTATTTATGCTTTACCCCAAGGGGATAGCCCAACTGAAATACAATATTCTTTTGTCATTTATGCTGCCTTCACATGCTATCGGAATTATCGTAAATACCAGTTTCCTAATCGGAAATTAGACGTGAACGCCTCCTCAATTCGTATTTAATTTTGAAATAATTTTGATACCAGAGTTTCCGAGTTGGGTGGGTCATAATCTTTAAACATGGTGAAGGGGACAACCATTGCTGCTGTCAATGCTGTTCTCACAACAACTACATCCCTTTGTCTTGTCGCTAAAGTAGTGTATTTATAGGCTAGATATGAACGATCATTTGAAGCTTATTGTATGTTTTATAAGCAGTGAAATAAGCATGTATTTGACCAAAATTCCAGAATTGTCCGCAAACTGCATATATTGCATGGTGAATGTTTATGATAGTCAACCAATGGGATGCTAAATTTTATTCTTTCTGATATTAAATCACTTGAATACGACAAGCTTGTATTCACAACTTCATAAGTGGGAAATAGGAAATTTCCGAAAGCACGTGAATGCAGCATTACTTACCCTCATGTCGTTCCAAACTTGTCTGTCTGACTTTTTCGCTGAAAAAATGTATTTTCATACATTGAAAGTCAGTGGGGACCAATGTTGTTTTGGACCTTATTGACTTTTAGTTTATGAACAAACAGTTGATGTTTTGAAGAACTGATTCTTCTGTTATACAGTAGAAAAAGGAGTCATGAGGGTGAGTAAATAAGACGCTTCATTTTGAGGTGAAATATCCCTTTGATTCACAATTCGTTCTTAAGTATTTAAGTTATTTTTTTTTACTGTATACAGTACTGATGTTCTTGAATAATCAGTTAACAAAGTAACTACAATCAGCATTACATAAACTAATAACACACCAGAAGCAAACTGGTCTGGTGAATACCATCAATGTTTTTAAGTGATAAGGAAATGGTATAAATGTCTGTAGATTTATACATTTTACGTCATTGATTTTTCCATTGGAAAATGCCCATTATCTGTCACGCTGAGGTATATTGACTCAGCAGCAGAGTAATCTTAAGGAGTCTTATGTCATTCTGCTGAACTTCTCCATTACAGTCTTGTTAGCAAACACAACCTACCATAATCTTATCATGAGGGCACAAGCTTTAAGGACATGCGGCTAAAGTTCACAGCACATTTGGACCCTGAAATAAACACATCAGACCCGGAGTCAGTGCTCAAAGACAACACTGAAGTATTTTTTTTTTGACTGCTACCCTATCAAAATTATTTGACTCCTGATTCTGAGATAAACTGATCAAATTCAGATAAGAGTACAAGCATTAACCTAGGCGATAAAACGGTATCGGTATTTATCGACGGTACACCTTCTTCGATACCGATATAAAAAATGTTAGATATAATGCACGATATAGGCACGTGCTATGAGTGGCGCAGACAGCACACACAAACACGAACATGAGTGCTGTGCCTGCCTGTGATGAGGAGATTGTGAATAAAAAAAATAATAATATTAGTCGAATTTAAAATAAACATTTGCATTTGAATGCAAAAATAGTACAATGGAATGTTAGGTGTGCATCAGGGAGCGTCATCAGTGGAGCACGAGATGCGGTAATGATGATGTAAGTGACGCTGTAGTTTAATGTTTTGTTAGTCTAGCCCACGAGACGCGCAGTTGCTGCGTTATTCATTCAAAATATTAGGGAAATATAGTAGCTCAATGCGTAGAAGATCTTGATTAGGTTAAAACCGAAACCAAGCCATTCACACAGAACGCATATTCAGCGCATTTTTTTAGACGGACAAATATGACTGCTGCACTCGCGTCTCAGACAAGAGATGTAAACAGCCATGCAAAGAAAACGCGTCACGAATTTGTGGAGGTTTATTCCTTTTCACTGCGTCTCTTATGTTTTTAAAGGCAATCTGTGTGATGGGCGATTCGGCTCTTTGTATTAATCAATGCATAAATACGTGATGCTGTTTTGTTCATAATTGTTTATGCAATTTACGAAATTATATTTGATTTATGAGTTAATTTCGATGTAATGCACTTTTTTTATAGACGGTTATTTCCTTGCGTTAACAATTTAATGTGCTGCATTATTTTGCTCAATGCGCCCTCCTGTGGCCTCGGGAAACAAGCCAAAAGTTTAACCTATTTAATCTGCATATAAAACATTAGATATGAGATATATATGCTTTTAGAGGGGGTATTTTTAGGGACTCCCAATGATTTCTGGGAATCTTTGCCCAACGTGGGGTTGTGTTAGGATTTCTTCCCATCAGCTTGCCAAAGTAATTCTTTGTGTTTACAGAGATTCAAAACAAATGGCAGCTTTGATTTTAGGGTTTCATACTGTTGCACAAGCACACGTCTAACATGTAGTGCAAGTTAAACAGAACTTGTTTTGCCCACATTGATTCCGTGTTGCAAACTATCCTTCTACTCGGGTCACTCCATCAAACCTTTAAATGAGTAATTATTTTGACAAGACCTGTAAGGTGATAGCATGATGACACCCAGCAGAGTGTCAACTAAATTAACTTCAGTTGGTTGCTGTAAAAGGAAGTCTCTACATTGTTGGGAATGTGGAGCGGTTGCCTGTGGCGGCTTTGATGCATCAAGCCAGAATTTTTGGTGCATTCCCTTGGGCATGAGAACATGGAAAAACAAGCCACTTCGTAAACAGGAAGAATTAGGTAGCAGGGGATCTGTAGTAACATGAAAACACTGTAGACACAATCACAGTGTACTGAAGTCAACATGACCGTGTGTTAGTGAGATCATCAGCTGAACATGTGCGGTACGATTTCAGCAGGCAGCATATTTTAAACCGCTCACATACAATGAGTTTGAACAGGCTTTTCCTTTCTCAAAGCTTTATCTTCAAGCAAGAATGCAAACTGAATGGGCACGGCTCCTTCGCCCCATGCTCCAGTTCTTCCTGATCGCCGCCTCCATCTATACAGGACTGTCCCGTGTCTCAGACTATAAACACCACTGGAGTGATGTACTCACAGGACTTATACAAGGAGCCATCGTGGCTTTATTAGTGGTGAGTTATGCATTCAACAGCACACAGATCATGTATGCTTGCAGAAAATCAGTGAATTCTGCTCATTTAAAAGGAATTTCACTTGTCATTCCAAACCCATATTATTGTCTGATGTTCATGGAATAATAGAATCAGTATTATTTTAACTATATAGTGTTCATTAGGATTACCTTTAGAACTAAAATTAAAAAATTTTAAGTGCATAAGTTATTTCAGTTAATGTTTACTTCAGCATGGCATAATTTCCTATTTTGTTTAAGATTAACTTGAAGTACTAAAATAAAAACTAAAATTGAAATAAAAAGTAACAAGAACTTAATCTATTGAAACTTAAAAAAACTGAATTATATCATTTTAATATGAAAACAAAATATTAAAATGTTAGTAAAGCTAATAATATATCAGTGATACTAAACTAACACTGGTATTCATTAATATTTTCTTACAATTTCTCATTTTGTTTTTAAAGAATTAAAAAAAAATGTCATTTGTTTTAATCATTGGTACTTCGTTTTTTTGTTTTCATTTAACTTTTTATAATTTAAGCTTTATTTAAATTTAAAAAACAATTTTAATAGTTTGTTAACAGCCCTCAACAGAATTTTTTTAATTGAAAAATAATTGTCAATCTGAAATTCTTCAGCTAAACTCTAAAATTTCATTTACACCCAAAACAAGATTAAAAAATCAGTGACAAATTTCTGGATTTTCCCCCTCCCATCAGCCCCAGTCCCTTTTAATGCACATCTGTTTATGTTCCACATAAGAAATAAGTAGGGGTTTGAGTGACTTATACTTTCTGTTGTACAGTATAAGCACTAAAGTTGCTAAATATGAAAAACACTGACATTTCAGGCCAGCCCCTGTGACTATAAACCTCCAATATATCACCACCTCTCACACCCTACAGGTTTTCTGTGTGTCGGATTTCTTCAAAAAGAAGGTTGAACCACAGAGAGAGGCAGAGATCCTACACACCACCTTACAAGAGACGCCTACGAATGGAAATCATTATGAAAACCCAAACTAAACTATCACGAGCCTCTGTCGATGGGAAGGGGTTTCAGCGTGCACCCACTACGAGGACAGACCACTGCGGTGGAAACCTGTGAATGTAACCTTGCTTTGTGTTCTCCAGACGCCTCTTTCTGGGGCTCTCTCTATGGATGCTGTACCACGTTGCCTTGGCTGGACTGCTTCTACCACAGCTTCCTCTGTATCTCCAAAAACTAATATAAGTGTACCTCTATTAAGCCACAAAAGAAACTTTTTTTTAATCTGTATTAAAAAAAAAAAAAGATTCGCTATACAGACTTTTTAAAAAAATGTTTATTAAAATTGTTAAAACTATGTACAAAATGTTGCGCTTTTATGATGGAAACAAAAACCCATTATGCTCGTTGACAAACCAATAAAACGATTATGTTTCATTTAAATTCTGTCCTTCAGTGTTTTGATGCAAAATGAACAAAAACAATAGCAAACACCGAAATATATAAACCTCTGGATTCACAGGTAAAGACTGGCAGCAAACACGATATCCCTCTTAATCTTCGTTATGCCTGTGAAAAACAAGAAAATGTTTGAGTTGTGAAACAAAACCCATCAACCTCAAAGCTGTGTTCCAAAATCTAGTGTGCTGCCTAGCTAGACAGCATTTTAAGGCATCATAAACGCGCTACAAAGGCCATTCCCCTAAGTTATGAGACCTCGTTAACTGTTAGGTAATCTAATACTGCATAATTAGCTTAGCAGCATGCTAACATTCAACTCTACTGGAATCCATTTTGACCCAAGTATTTGTTAGCTAATGAAATTCTGTATAAGTAGCTTAGCAAAATGCTAACATCCATCTCTATCGGAATCGATTTGTGTGCGTGTTAGCTAATCGAATACTGTGCAATTAGATTAGCAGCATGCCAACAACAAAGTCTACTGGAATCCGTTCTGATCAACGTATTTTTATGCTTATTAAAACGCCATGTTATTAGCTTAGCAACATGCTAAAGAGTCTCCCATGTGCTTCACGTGAGGAGCTTTCGTGCAGGACGTGTACCGTGTGGAAATGCATGAATGCTGATGCTTCTAGATTCACAAGCTTTTTTTTCATACATTGTTTCATTACAAAAAGTGTCAGCTAGCAAGTCGTAATGTAACAAGTATACGATGGAATGAGACCAACGTAAACTCTATGGTTTTCCCCGTGTGGTAATTATGAGCAATTTAGTTGAAACGTACATTTTGTAGCTAGTTACTTGAATAACACCACATCCGATTTGATGGAACAGACATTTGAACAACTATAGCGCCCCCTTGAGTACGGAGGTCTGTTATAGCAACATTAATGAAAAACGCAATCATTCAGACCATATACTTTCTGCCCTTAGAAGTCAGCTTACTAGGTTTTAAAGGGAAAAAAACAAAACAGAACTATAGCGCCCCCTTGAGTACGGAGGTCTGTTATAGCAACATTAATGAAAAACCATTCATTCAGACCATATACTTTCTGCCCTTAGAAGTCAGCTTACTAGGTTTTAAAGGGAAAAAAACAAAACAACTGTTGTTCTGTAAATTAAATAATTCATGAGTCAAAATACAGAACCACAGTAATGAGATTGAGATATTGAGACACTGGATTGTGGATTTGTTTATCTTATGTCTCACATCCACAGGTTCTCAGAATGTGATCAATAATTAAATCTTTCCAAGACGGTTTACTAGTCAAGTGCTCAAAGCTGCCCACAATAAACTGGATACTCTTTGCACGTGGCGCTATTGAGCTGAATGAGTCACACCACGAGTCTAGAGCATGTCCTACCCGTGGCAAACTTATTCTCCAGCTCTGTGTTTCCAATGGCCTTGGCTGCCTGGCACATCTGCCTCAAGAGCTCCTCCAATCTGCGCATGCAGCGGATAATACTGCCTGAGAGAGAGAGAGAGAGAGAGAGAGAGAGAGTGAGTGTTAGTCCTCCTCGCACTTACTACATACCAACCACATATGGTCATTTTCAGTGCTTGTAACCCTTAGTTTCAATGTCCAGTTGTATTAGTGATGTTTATTTCTATGAAACTTTTCTTGGCACATGGGGTTTTGCTGGCATAACATTCGAAGATCTCTACAGAGACCAATTCAGTATTAGGCGAAAGGGGATGAGAGAAAGAGAATAGGGGAACTTCTCCAGTTTTCATATGACATCTCTCCCTCACTGCAATTTATCACTACAAGTGCTTTGCTGTTTGCTAATGCACATGAACGCAGCCAAAATCTCACTCAGGAGCTGGAAGCACAGATGGATGGGGGATTTTCTTGACAAGACATGAAATCTGCGTTTCAAAACACACGTCATGCTGCGGACAAGGCCAAATCTCAGAGCAGAGGCTTCTGGGAGAAGATGTGCTGAAAATACATTTTAAATCCTTTTATTTCACAACAGGCCCCATGCTGCACTTATGAAGTCAGGACCAAATACAACATCACTGATTCCTAATAGTTTCACAAACTAATTACATTTGCTCATTTCTGGGAAACAGGAATGATATGAAAATAGTCTTTTTATAGTAGAATTAAATATAAGCCATTGTCGGGATTTAGGTCATCAATCATCCATCCAAGCAAGTGCATTAAATGTCATTTTTTCCCCTCCCCAATCAGAGGAGCCATAACATGGACCAAACAACCACTATTAGATTGCAGATTCAAAATCTTTCAAATGTAAAATAAATAAAGCAAAAAAAAAAGTGTTACATACACTTAAAATGCATAAAATAATGCAAGTCTATATACCAATATAACAATATTTAATAAATATCCTGCTACATAAACACTCATGAGAAGTGACTTCCTGAAACGATGGTTTAAGGAACAACTAGCCAACTGAAAAGTGCCTTAAAAATCACAGCAATATTTACAAAGTGGCTTCAATTAAAACATAAAAATATAAATATCTGATACATCAATTTGTTGCGAGATATATTTATTGCGAGAGAACTAGTACCTTCAAAAACATCTGTCATTTTGCATATCTGAGAAAATGAGGAGCCGTTGGCCCAGGTGTAGACCACATCCATCAGGTGCGGGCGGAACTGGTTCAGGTAAGTGTCCTCATCCACGTCCAGCTTGGCCTCTGCAGACACCTTAGCAATACGCTTGGCACATTCCTACAACCACAGCAGAGCGCGAGTCATTCGTGACGATACGGGATCAGTTAAGACAAGATTCTAGATGCTTTGAGAGCTTATGAAGGTGACATTTCTCAGAGAACACATGGATTCAGAAGACTTATGGGGAACAAGATAAGGAAAAGAGCAGCTTGAACATTCTGCAAAATATCTCCTTTTGTGCTCCACAGGCTCGAAAAAATGACAATTTAAATTTTTTAAGTAGACTATTTCTTCTTAGTTTTATCAGTCCCTCCAGGATTCTGCGATTGCTGAATTTATGGCAAAATCAAGCAAACTCAGATTTTCCGCAGATTTTGGGCTTAGACCATAGACTGTATAAAAACATGGACGTAGTGTCCGTGACGTCACCCGTAGGTTTCCGAAGAGCGTTTTTGAAGCCTAAAGTGGGCAGAGCCGGCCGTCGCCATCTTGGCAGCGAGTCACTCTCGGATGATTGAAAAAGGGGAAAGAGGCGGGAGCTGTTTGCTGAAACCACGCCCACCTAGCTCGACGCCAGTGTCAGCAGCGGCAATCCACCTGTCACTCAAGTGGCCACGCCCTTAATTATGCAGAACTTTAAGGCTTAATATAATTTAAACGGATGAGTTATAAAAAAAATTCACCCCCCTCACAGCTGTCATGAAGGGCAAAATTAGCTATATAGACCAAAACCACTTTTTGTACCAGCTGTAAAAGCTTTTTTCTGCTGTAAAGTTGGACATTTTAACATGGGGAGTCTATGGGACTGACTCCCTTTTGGAGCCAGCCTCTAGCAGCCAGTCGATGAATTGCAGATTTAGTCACTTCCGTGTTGGTTTCACGAGAGAGAGCGGGAGGTTGCCGCTTGGCTTAGATGCGTTCCTTGATGTCATCGCAACACGGTGTTATATATTTTGCTTGTGTACTTACATTATCCCAAATGTTTCGAAGAATGTTTAAATCCAGAGAAATAAGCAATTTTAACTAGCGACACGGACCGTGTCTATAGTGTCATTGTGTTGCCTGCCAATGACGTCAGATTTCCAGAACCGAAAACATGGAAACACCAAAGACGCTTTAATATGTTGTGCGTTTTAATAGACCGGTGACGACTGCACAGAGTAGCATAATAACAGAACTTTCAAACGTATCTAGTATGATAAAACAGCGCTGATTTTTCCCCCACATACGCACGACCAGAAGGAGCAGAAGCTGTCGACTGTGGCATAATAAAAGCTCTGCTGCTTTCGAGCCGTGTGTCACACTCGTTCAGCGGCCTCGTTTCTCTTCGACGGCTTTCAGCCTCACCCTGCTTCATTCTACTATGTTAATAAATCATTAGCTCATCCATGAACATGATTTCTGCCCGACTCCCGTCGGATTGCATCGGCTGTGGGGATGAAGACCACAACTCCCATGACTCCACACTCAGAGGCAAAGGCGTAGTTTGATGACGCCGTGACTGTTTATTTTGAATACGCGCCCTCTAGCAGCGAAAATTACATATTGTGCCTTTAATGCTACAGATATCAGAATAAACACCACTGATGTGGAAACCAGGAAAAACATTGTTCAGTAAACACAAATCACCACCATTCACCATGGATTTAACATAGTAAAACTACAGGAACAACTTGTGGCAGAAATGGTCTAATGTTATCGAGTGTTTTTAAATGCTTCACACAACTTTCCCCAGCACTTTTAAGTTTTACCGAATTTGAAAGTTATATTAAATGTGATGACATTATTTGTTCATCCTTCATAGGTTGCCCCCATTTATAAAACTAAAAGTTTCATAATGTAGGAAAGCAAACACTTATTTAAAAATAAAAAATACATTAAATTACCACTAGTAGATGGCTGCAGAGAAGTACTTATAGGCTTATTAGCCATATCCACTCCCTAATATATATATTTTTGTATTTATTAAATTATATTTAGTCATTATGAATGACCATAATAAAAGTTCATTTGATCTGCATCTCAACTACCCAGACAGCACAAGTACATCTGTAAGA